CGTGTTCAAGCGAGTCGACTTCCGATATCTTGAACTTTGACTTATTAAAAGATTGGGGGGAGCCTCTCAGATTACCTTCCCCTGCCCCGACGACTAACGAGGTCTCGAATAAAGGAACGCCTGGCACACCGAAGAAAGAGCGGAAGCAAGCGAAGAAGGTCCAGTCCGAGAATATTAAAAATAAGAAACGCTCGGAGAGTCCTGGTAAGAACGAGAAAAAGTTGAAGGATTCGAAGAATAAAATTCAACCGGTTTATATGGATCTGGCATATGTGCCGCATCACGGAAATTCGTACTACACTTCTTTGGAATTCTTTAAGCGAGTGCGAGCGAGATATTACGTTTTTAGCGGCACCGAGCCGAGCCGAGAGGTCTACGATGCTCTGCTGGAAGCTAAGAAGACTTGGGAAGACAAAGATCTCGGTAGGTTTAGTAAAAGTATATATCTTAAGAATATTACAAATCTTTATGACAAACTATTACAAAATTTAATAAAAAGTAATTTTTTTATAGTAAAAAAAAGTAATATATTTTTCTTGTTTTCATTTTCACTCTAAATTAAAAATTCTTCAAAATATAATATGCTCTACCACCACATCACAATTTTGAGATATTTGATTATTTAAATTATAAAAAAACTATTTTAATATACTTGGTGTCATGCTACATCAAGCAATTCGTGAAAACTTTTATTCAAGATTAAGTATATTGTCAGAACTTTCAATTCGCAAAAGAAATTTGTTATGAAGATTAAAAATAACGCTTGACTAAATTTATAGTGAAAATCTGATAAACTTTAATCTTCACAACGAATTTTTTCTTTTTAAAGTTTTAAAAATATATTTAATTTTGAACAATTATTAACCAATTCTATTTTAAACTTTAATCTAAATTTTCTTAAAATTCTGGCAATGTGTGTAATAAAATATTTTAAAGCTTGTAATCATATCGCGTATAAGAAAGCTATAGAAATTATTATTCTCTTTCTTGCTTTACTTTTGTCGAATTATGTTGTTTAATATCGTAATATATTAATTTTTGTAAATGTAAATTTTTTGCATTCTTTTCAGAGGTAACCATGATTCCAACTTACGACACCGATACTCTGGGTTACTGGGTTGCCGACAACGAGGAGGCACTCGCTGCGAATCACATAGACCTATCGCCGTCCGCATCCCGGTGCACCATCAATCTCCAGGATCACGAGACTAGTTGTAGCGCCTACAGGCTCGAGTTCTAGGGATTGGCAGCCTGCTCAGCCGTAATAGTCGAGTTCTGAGCGGCGTCCGGAACGCGTCATCATTCCGCTTTTTTGGACCCATTCCTACGAAAAAAAAAGATAGAAGAAAAGAGGTCGAGCGCGCGCGCGCGCGCGTAGACCGACCTACCGTCCCGTCAGGGCGAGCCTTGACGCCCTGACTCCTTCTTTCCCTTAGAAGACCCAAAGACACACGAGAAGGTATTTCGAATTTTCGAGATTCCCTCGCAGTCATAGCTCCGCGGCCTAGCAGGATCGTAGAAGACCCTATCGAATTCTATGTAGAGATTGTCTCGAAGAAGAAAGACCGATCTTCGAGTTCGCGCAGTTCTCAGGTCGAGACCTATTCTAATCTAAATTAACACACGTTCTTCGTATTCTTTCGCGAGGAGACGGTGCGGGCGACGAGACAAGAGATTGTAGGGATTTTTCTCTTTAGTACGGACACAAGGTATAAAAGATTAATTACTTACTTCTAAGAAGCCGATTATATCGAAATAGAGAGAATTTAATTAAGGATCGCGCTGTGTTGATAACAGCGGTGGATGTCCTTCTTTTTGGTCTAATGGATATTTGTATTTCTACACTTTGCACACCGTTCGCAGTCCATGTAGCGCGCTGATACCGCCTGCAATACCTTATCAATCACTGCTCAAGTCGAGGACGACCGCGGGAATGCTCGTTCTCGCAGAGATTCCGCCCCAAAAGCGAAGAGGGTTGTGACATTGCTCGATCGATCGATCGATCGCGAATCGATGTCAAAAGTCCGTAAATTCCGCGGCCTGGGACAATCTGTACGTTATAGTGCTTAAATTGTGACTTTAATTAGGATTGCCGATTCACAAGATCAGCGGGTCGAACGATTGCAATGTCACAATGCGAGATCTTCTCGCTCCCCACCCTCTCCTCGAGCAGCAGATTAAAGTAAAACTTTTAATATCTCTGACACAGCTGCCGCTTCAAGAGCACCGCGTAGTATTCAGTGTATCAGTTAAAAAGAAAAAAAATATGTGAAAAAAGGAAAAGGACACGAGAGAAGAAGAGTGTCATATTCACGCGGTGAGATATATCGTCAACTGGAAACGAAATGCGCGCTTGACGGATCCATCGACGATGGATATGCAAGGAGAGAACGATTCCATGTTATCCGCGAAACATTATCCTTCGTTGTTACATAATTAACGGCCCCCTTTCTCGTCGTAAATGTTTATTCGTGCGTAGATAAAAACGGCTAAATTCCATCGGAAAGTCTACTAGGATAGGGAATTATCTGTGTGTCGTGTTTCTATATCGTAGAGAATATATAGAGCGGTGGTCGCGCGAGCTTGATGACAGATTTTTGTCATCTTGGGATCCGCGTGGGCGACGTGGCCGGGTTAGGCGTCGAGGAGTCCGACGAGGATGTTTTCGAAAAAGTCCGAAAGAGCGTTTCGTTGTTGTGGAAGGAAGCGCAGGGCGATGATGATGCATTTCGAAACGTCTATTGTGATGGGCAAATGATTGTTTAGCGCGGGGAGATATTTGTTTCCTCGCGCGACGCGGACGAAATTTTAAAGAACAATGGTTGTGATTTTTGGTGGCATCAATCCTCGCGAAGGATGACGAGAGAGAGAAGGAATCTAGGAGGAATCTTGTCCGCGTAATCAAGTGAGAACTAATATCGAAACTATCGATAACAAAAGTGAAAGATATTTTCAATGAATCGAATCACTGTAGCATCGCACAAACAAGTTTCCTGCAAATGAGATCCGAGTAATCTCTGAATATTTCTGGAAGAAAGAAATGTCGGATGGAGGAGTGATCTGTCGAAAATAGTATTTTCCAAAGGAAGAAGGTTCGTGACAGAGAAAACTTGTTTGACAGGCAGTAAAAGAGAAATATTACTGGATACTTAAAGTATGATACAACGCTGAAGGCTGGGTTAGATTAAAGCTCCGTTACAATAAGAGACGAGGAAAATCATGTCATCGATTTTATCACGACGTATCATAAAGTAGTTGGCGCGCGAGTAGAGATTCAAAGTTAAAGAAAAATATTTAAATGACTGTTTCGCCCGATCACTATTTTCTGAGATATCGACGATATCGTTCAGGTATCAAAGATAACTCGACAATATCGTATCAGGTATCGAAAATAACTGATCGATTCCTTAAATAGATTCGTTTCCAGATAGATCTCGCGGTTCATCGCCGGCGATCTTGAAATCATCACGTGACATCACGTGAATTCACTCGGAAGAGTCCATTAACAAGGGGAGGGCCAGACGTGCCCATCTCAGATTCAAGCGGTAATTTTTCTATGAATAGTCCTTAATGAGAAAGAAATTGTGTTAAAGTTTTAGCGCGCGCTTTTCACGCATTCGTCCAAAAAAAATTATAAAAAATTTTCCAGCACGACTTAACCGCTTCGCGATATTTCTATAGATTAGTGCGTAAGTTTTTTACCGCCTGTGTAAGTTACACACTTGATACTTTTTGTTCCGACTTGCTTTTCACACGCATATATGTGCTCATCATTTGTCATTTGTCTGATTATTTATTGTTCATTCTCTTTGTTTATTGTATCGCGTTTACCAGACGCAGAAGAGCGTTTGAATGATGAAGATCAATTGCCGAGAAAATTTGCGAGAAGAGTCTGATTATGCCGTTTTTCTTTTTTCGGTTAAACTATGCGCGACCAAGATTTTATTTCGCTGACTAGCAAAGAGCAGCGAAGAGAGCGAAAAAATTTTATAATAGAAGAAACGTGTAAAAGAAAGAGAGAAAGGCATTGTGACATTGAAAAATATATATTATATATATAGATATCTATATATAATATATGAACGAAGTATTTAATAAATGGAGTATAAGAGAGTGTGAGAAAGAGAGATAGAGTGAAAGATATATGAGAGAGAAAGGGAGAGAGAGAGAGAGCGAGAGAGATGTGAAAAACGTGAGCCTCAACACCTGTGCGAACCCCCAAAATCGCGGTGCTCGACGGGTGCGAGAACGGTGATATATTTCTCCGACGAGAAGACGAACAATCAAGAATATCATTGTGAGAGAGAAATTATCGGGTCGTTAGACGGAGGAGAGCGGCAACCCATCGCCGCTCATTTTCTCTTCTTGATTCGCTCGCGTTTTTCTGATCACGAGTTTGTTCCATGTTGCCGGACGGCACGAATTAACAAAATCAAAAAAAAAAAAAAAAAAAAAAAAAAAAAAAAACTATTTGCACAAGCATACTTAATTCGTAATATGTGAATGTGTGTGTATTGTATGTATATATATCATTTGAAAATAATTCGCACAAAAAAAATACACACAGAAAAGAAACGTTTTTATAAAAATTGTAATCAATTGTAAGCAATCTTTATTTGAAAAAGTTATCGCCGCTCACTTGATTCGCTCGCGTTTTTCTGATCACGAGTTTGTTCCATGTTGCCGGACGGCACGAATTAACAAAATCAAAAAAAAAAAAAAAAAAAAGAAATCGCGCCTTTCCTCCGTTGTGGAAATTTTCTCGGATACTCGCGGGGCTCTAGTCAGAAATCTCGTTTCTCAAGCGTTAAAAAGAAAAACAAAAAAAAAACGGACGGTCATCTAGTCACATCCGAGCGAGAGTTTTGCTGTCGCGCGTTACGAGGGTAACGCGAGATCCGCGCGTAATTTGCCGAAGATCTTTGGAAAGGCATTCAGGGGACCCTCGGGAACGTGTGCCCGGGACGTTTCACAGATGCCTTCGGGACGTTTCCTCGACGCGCGTTTCGGCATCGCTCGAGTTCCCTCCACGATTGTATAATCGCGGTTCTCACCCGTCGCAGCGCATCGGCGCGTCGCGTTTTTTCGAATAACGAATTAAGAAAAAAAAAAAAAAGAACTTACTGTGGAGTGTTCATGGTGCTATGATTATTATTATTATTATTATTATTATTATTATAGAAATAACAATGTTATGCTATATGACAAAAAAAAAAAATAATAATATAATAAATATACACTATATACCTTAGAATCTCTTCGCCTGTGTGCCTCACGCGTCTTAATTTTTCTCCTCGTCGATCGACCGTAGATCAGCCGCCTGTTTCGAGATGTTTTGCACGAGGATCGAGACCGATGTAATCTTATTGCGGATCTTCGGATTTTCGGATGCCGCGGACACGCGAAAATAAATCTGTATTCACGTCTCTCCGCGCGACGTGAGATACATTTTTTTTCTTTCGCAGTTACGGCATCGGAAATCGAATTTATCGGAAATTACACCGATTTTCGAAATCCTGCTTCTGCATGCCCACGTGTTCTGTTTTACATGTCATGTAAGTTTGTAACGAGAAAATAAATAGCTCATGCGCCCTGCAAGACTGCATTCTCACCAACTCTGTATATTCACACATTCTTCTTCATTTCTATTCGTATTACTAAAATTTCTCTCAGTCTCACTAATAGACTATTTATCAAGGAATTGGTAAAAATGAAGCCATACAAATATTGTTAGATAAAATAAATATAATTACCAACATAAATTATAAATCTACATTAGATTGGTTCTAGATCTTTCAATGTGTATACAATTATGATATGCATCGTAATATAATATTGTTGATAATATCATATTTGTAGAATACAGTAATATTTTTTGAATACTTTTATTGTATAATTAAAAGTTTCTCTTGATTATATATATCGAACAACGCGCTTGAGACTATAACGCACGTGTAATGATTTCAGTCGTTAAGTATTTATCACTGTATAATTATCCTGCTGTACGAAAGTGCAGTAAGGAAGTGTGCTTTATAGTGTATGAGACGTTAGATATTTGATTATCTCATTTGTAATATTTGGGTACATTCATTGAATAGTGAATATTGCATCGGCACGTGCAAAGTTTTCATGACTTTAAAACGACATAAGAGATATTTATCACTGCACGATCATTAGCCTGCATTATGACAGTTCACCGAGCAACCAGTTCATATATTGCACGAATTAATAAAAAAAAATCATCGAACTCAAATCGTCAAACTCAACATCGCTCACGAAGCACGTTTGCGTGAAATACAATCGCTTTAATCGAGTGACCTCGTGGTTTCTGCGGCATCTGAATCATGCCGTATAATAATGCGTCCCTTAGAACCTCGTGTTATCCGGCATCTTGACGAAGTACGCTATCTTGTCTTCCGCCACCCTGTAATTATGAATCCATCTCGAGCCTTTCCTCAGACTCCCGTCAATACCGTCCCTCCAGACACCGGCCGGCAGATAAACTTCCCTCTGTCTGCTGCCGGAATAAAGCACCGGCGCGACGATCAACTCCTCGCCGACGGAGAACTCGTCGACCACTACGTGACAGGCCGGATCGGCCGGATCCAGCATCCAGAGCGGCCTGATGATGGGCAGACCGGTGTCCAGGGTCTCGTTCGCGTATTTTTTCAGCAACGGCGTCACCGTCTTCTGCCGCAAGGTGGTTAACCGCTTGGCGATTTCCAGAACCGACTCGTCCGAGTACTTGCTGGGCAGATGAGTGAAGCGGATCACGGGTAAGAAAGTGGACAGTTGCAGCCATCGGATGTAGAGCTCCTTGTCCGGCAGGTCCACCTCAAAGTCGTTGTCGGGATTGTTATCCGACATCGGAAGCGCCACGTCGCCGCCCACCGCACCCGGCATGATGAAGGGGTAGCCGATCATGCCGTAGCTGAGCACGGTGGGGATGACGGTCTTGATAGCCTTCCAGGATGACGGAAAGGGTGGCAAGGACACGAAGACGGGGGCTCGTGGCCTGGAAATGGCGCTGGACACGCCGATCACGGGAATGGTGCTCAGTATCGAGCGGGTGAAGATGGTCTTGTAATGATCGGGATTGGTAAGCGGTTCCTGGCATTTGTAATAGTGCGGCATGTCCTGAGCGGTACCCAGGTCGAGGTAAAACGAGTCAACATGATACTTCATGATCAAGCTCTCGAGCTTTGTTTGCAGCCAAGGTAAAGTCTTGTTATTCGTGATGTCAAGCACACCGGCGCTGTTACTTTGCTTGTATCTAAAATTAAATATTCTTAAAGATTCTTTATATCAATTTTGTAATCAAATAATAATACGCAAAAGTACAATATATTATGTATTATAAAAAATATGTAATTGAAAAATAACCTCGTCAACGCCGGAATCCGAGGATCGCTTCCTCTCTCCGAGATGAGTAATCTGTTAGCGACAGCATCCTTGAAGTTCACGGATTCCGTGGAGATAAACGGCTGGATGCTGAAGACTATTCGAAATCCTCTGCGATGGATGATATTAATAGTCTCCTCCATGGAGGGAAATCGCTCCTCGTCCAGGACAAAATCTCCCGGACTCGGCTGCCATTCCTCGCTAAGCAGAACGTGACCTTGACGAAGAAATCCCAGCGCGATCACGTCCTCCGTGTAATTATAAATAGCCGCCTCGTTGATAGGCGAAATCTGCCAGACTGGTTCGGACAACAGCGAATGAACGGCGTGCAGCTCATCGGGCTTCAAACCATCCCACAGAGACTTTTCCGCCATCAAAGAGTGTAAAGTCTTCATGTTGTCGGTGGCGCAAATGGTATAGTTGAGCTGGGGTAGAGGCGTCAGATGATTGATGTAAGCAAAAGCGTCATGTTTGGCTTGAAGGCAAAAGTCGTTGGTTCGATTGGCGTTAATGGAGACGTACAACGGCGTCTCGGCATCCACCAGAATCGTAGCGCCCTTCGAGTTAAGAAAATATCTTTTCAACACATTGCCGAAGGAATGTTTCCTCACGTCGCCCGTGATAAAAGGACTGAGCTCCAGGCGACCTCGTTCCAGGGGATACGCCATGTTCTGAATTTGACCGGCTCCGTACCAGTGGCCTCTCTTCGAGGACCAGTCGAAGCAGTCCTTGGGATTGTAGTAGGGACTCAGACTCTGCCAGGTTACGTGATAGCAGTGCATGTCCTCGTGCTTTGTGTGCGCGAGATAGAGCCGCGTCTGCTGCAGCCACTCGAGGCAGACCGAGTCCTGCCGTTGATGATGCGGAAGGCAGGGATACACTCCCGTGTCCGGTGGAATACCCTCGCCGAGCCGAGCGGCGATGATCTCCCCGCCGGAACTACTGTAGACTGTCATCATTCTTTCATTTTTATTAAACCTAAAAGAAAGATTAATCTGTATAAACGATCATTACGATTCGCAGAAAAATCTTCGTAATTTAAAAAAAAAAGATAAAGAGCAAAAAATTTATACATCGAAATATTGATAGATAATATGAATTGATAGATAATATGATAGATAATTAGAATAATGAAAAAAAAAAGTCGGTATACAGATAATTTTACTACCGTAATTCTTCTTCCATTCTAAGATAATGCAACCTTTAAAAAGTTAAACGTATAAGCATTAGGTCAACAATTGAATACGCATTTTGAGACTGACGCGAGATCGGCGTAATAAACGAGCCTTAATGTATTCCATTAGGTGCTTCCTGGCAGAGGCAAACGACCGAAAATTATTCCACAGTAGCCAAGCGATACAAAACGCCGTGGACTAACAATATATTACAATGATTCGATAATCGATAAATTGCTCGAAAGAGAATATCCGTATATATAATATAATATTATAAGTAATTTTATTATTAAAAAATACAAAATTTTTCATTTATTTACAATATTCTTTGATGTCATATATTTACCTGAATTTGTCAAAGTATGCTCGTTGTAAGACATGCTGGTTATAATAAATGTGTGCGAATCCCACGAGGAAAACGACGCACAGGAAGAGAAAGCCGACAAATGCTCTAAGCCTACGAGAAATTAAATATTTTTTTACAGATTATTATATATTATTAAAATAACCGTAAGTATAACATTTTTATCAAATTTTAATAATAATGTATTAAATTACCTGTAGTCGGCGTTCTGACGTCTTGCACTGTTTCGCAGTGCTTGCGGTAATGACAATTGCAATTTCTCCTTCAAGAGACTGCTAATGCTGTTTACGCTAGTTATCGTGGAATTCGCACTTTGCCCACCCGAAAGTTCCGTAGCGTCGTTTCCCATTTTTTCGTTCATCGACGGTTGCATGACTCTACTTTTCCTTCGCGGTGGAGCTTGCAATGGCACCCTAGAAGAAATTTTTTTTATCACTATCATATAATTAGATAAATAATCAAAAAGAATATTAATTTCAATTTCAAATTGTCTATCAAAAAATACATATAAACGTGTATACGTGTCGTATTGTACCTTTGCAATGATACGGCGCTACCGATATCATATCGGGGAATCATCCTGTTATGTTTCAAACACGGCTGACATTTAAATATTAAATTAAAAATTTTTTTTTTTTAGTTTTTAAGTTACTTTTTTTAGACAGAGATTCAAGCACAAACACACACTATCACATATTTAAAAAATGCGAACACTCGATATGAACGACTGGAGAATAGTAGACAATTTTAAACAATAGTGTACGTGGAAGAAAAAAAAATCAAGAGATGATTGTAATTACAATCGCGTACGGTGACTGTTGGCCGAAACGAGCATTTGCGGGAACCAAGTCTTATAACGCGATAACCCTGATGCGATATGAAAGAAGGTCGGAACCGACGACGATGGTGCTTATGATGACCGTGAACGCGGACAGATATAGGTACGCCGGTTTCATTCGCTCAGTCCGAGCGTAAATGCAAACGCAGTAAACAGTGTCTCGTGTATATATGCATATAATGGAGCATTGCAATGCAAATTGTGCATTTAGAGTGCACATTGTCAAGAGAAAATTATAGTCCGCGAGGTGTCCATCTCTTGCGAGCTGCACGGAATGTTTCACTAACATAAGTGACATCGATGCATTTATGGATTTATTAAGCGGTCGAGACAGATTAAGATGTGAGCGAAATCAATACGAAATGCCACGTTATTATTGTCCGTTGAATAAAGTTCCGACGTACGAGCTTGCGAAAAATTACATGGATTAAATGCGTCACACAAATCGTATCTACGACAAATTGATTGTGACTGAAACCAATTAATAGAGCCGATAAGATAATTAAGCTTTATCACGGAAATTAAAATTCTGATAATAAACAAATAAATAAATAAATAATCTGGCATTTTCCACGATTTATGAAACTTTCGCAAACCAGAATTTTAATTTTCTCTCTTCTTAAAACTTTAATCGATCGTTAAATCTCTACAACACTTACTTGGCCAACTCCTCGTCATTTGCTTCTTCCTCCGTGTCGGATCCCAAGGGGCTTCCATTCGGCGTCGAGCCGCTGTTGCTGAAAGTCACGCTGCTGCTGGTCTCGCTCTCCGCTCTCGCGAATTTCGAAACCCCGGTCCCCTGAAACATCAACAATCCAGGTGTGAACAAGCAAGCTCGACATCTGTGCAATGAAACAAACTCGTCGGTCGACGCCGTAAATCATCGTCGTCGATTACACAGCTAGATTTATTTTCGAGTGTCATCTATATCGATCGCTGACGTAACGATCGAGAGCATACGCGTCTCGATTTGCGCGTCTCGTGTTCACATTATTTTTTTATCGATATAGTATAGTATAATCTGCGAGGAAATATGCAACGCTGATAACTTGCTAATCTTTTTTTTTATTTTATATTTATATTTTTGTGGATTTATATCTATAATTCTATTTCTAAATAAGATAGACATAGAAACATTTTAAACAAAAATATGCGAAATATCTCCGTAATAACGTACGTGATCGATGAGCAATTAAGTGCAATGACCGTATCCAGAAATGTATTTCTTATCAGAAACGCTTATTGCCCATCATATATCAAACGACAAATTTAACAAGCTAATAATACTTCAGGCGATATTGCAGCCCCTCCGGAGTAAAATATCATTCGAATGTGTTAAACGTTTCTTGACCTTCGATCTAAAGTCATTAGCATTACGCTAATTTCGCTATGCAAATCCCTCAACATAAATGTACTGTTGCACATTCATATATTCGGTCTCAATTGTCATGATTAAATCTTAATAAGCGATGCTTACCATCACGTTAATTATCGGTATTCTCTTCATTACATTTTTTATCAAATAGATATATTCAATTTAATATTATTAAAAATCTTTTTTTTGTTTCACTGTCTTTTCACGTCTACATTTATTCACACTTTACGTATATTTAAGGTGAAAAATATATAATTTCGAGGAAAAAGTTTGTTTGACGAGAACGGATATAAAATGAAATCGCACAATATACATCACGCAATGGATGCAACGGCACCGTTCGTATCAAGCGGGCAGCAGGAACTACTCATTTCCCTAATGAAAACATGAAGTGGAATGCATGCACGGATAGTTCGCAAACATTACGTAACGCAGCATTGACGAGGAATCTTGTTCTTCCGAAACGGATATATGTGTGTGAACGTAAATGCCATAATATGTAGATAATGATTAATGAGATGAAATGATATCGTGTTTGAACTCGTCTTTAGTTTACAGAGAATGACGTTCATACATAAGAGAATAATATTTTATATTTTTATAGAAATTAATATTTCACATTTTAATAATAATTCTTGTATTATAAAATATACGATCTCTTTCTTAAACTTTGCTAGAATTCTCGAAATATTTCTCAGTCAAAGACTTTGTTCTGTAAAGAGCTTTTAACGCACCTCCTGAATGATGTCCAGTCTGTGTCCGTCAGTGTCAACCAGAGCTCTCTCCAAAGAGTATATCTGTGATCCTTCGCGTTATCACTCATCGATAACAACGATTGCTTGTTCGCCACTTTCGCGAATATTTTCTTTATACAACCGCGCACTTTTTTTCTCAAGACTTATGATAATAATTATCAATCACGCTGTTAATCGAGAACTTTCGGAAAATAATCTGATAATAAATCGATTATTATTTTTGATATAAACAGATTTTAGCCTAATAATGAGATCTTATTACGAATATAATCACGTTCAAAATTAAAATATATAAGTTTTACTTACGTTTTGTCTGTCTATTCGAAGATCGTCCATCTCGTCGAGATTGCTGGGCATCGAGATGCTAGTCTTCCTTATATTCGTAGCGCGTAGCACTGTCACTTGCGGCAATCCTTTCACCGTGTTTGTCTCGTCGACCACTTCTTGATTATTCTCTCGTTTGACTTCGTTAACAAACGCATTCGCATCGTCGTTCGATTTGTCTGAAAGCCAACCGTAAAGAATGGATCGAGTGAAAATTTACAAATATTTAAAAAATGCGTCTAGTATTATTTGATGACGATTATATAGATATTAAAATAACATTAGCGTGAATGCAAATCAATAATGGTATAATTTCTAGAAAATTAATTTGCACACTCCAATGTTATCGCTAAATAAATATTTGCGTCTGTATTAGTGTCAGAAACAAATGCACCTACCCAAGTATCGTCATCCTAACTTATCGTAGTATAAACTTTCGTAGGAAAACATCGCGGCGGTGCAATTGAAGATCAAAAAGTTCATATCAGAAGATAATAATTAAAAACTTGGCACTTTTACCACATGACGGTACATGACAGAACAAATAAATATCAAGAATATAACCTGCTTTTATAATCTCTGCAAACGTATGATATAAATAAATCAGTAAATTAAATTCATTTCTTCAATATCTTCTTAAATAAAGAGAGAAAGAGAGACGCAAAAATAATCTTGAAAAGTGCGAAATAAAAATGTGTGATTGTCCACAACGCTTGGCAGATGATAAAATCGTTGGGAAAATTGACCCGGAAACCGTAACCCTTTTCTCGAAATGTTTCACATCTTATCGTCCCGGAAAGGATATCCTCGAACATAAAATTCCCTCCAATTCGAATTGCACGTCGATCGATTCCGTGCAATCTAATAGCAGTGATACGACAAGCGACTCTGCGAAAAAATCGTTGTCGAGCCTGGAATCCTCTAGCGAATCCAGCAGATCGGTACAATATCGACAAAGAAATATCTTCCATAAATTAAATGTAACGACTGTAAAGATTAATTTTGTCCCGCAAACAAATAATTATCTTGATAACCGTGCAGTATATATTTATTCCAACGGAATGCGATTATTCCGGCGAAGAAGAGGGTTTCAAATCACCAGCGGTTTGCTTCGAAAACGATAAAATTAAAAAGACTGTCGAGAAGGAGCCGGAAGTCGAATACACCTTAGCCATAATAAAGCCGGAGGCGGTGGTCTACAGAAAGGAGATCCAGCATCGAATATACACGGAAGGTTTCGAGATTTGTCAAACACGTTGGCTTCAGCTTACACCCGAACAGGTTTCAGAATTCTATAACGATCACTTCGGCGAACTGAGTTTTCCTCATCTGGTGGCATATATGTCCTCGGGACCTATTATAGTGTTTGTGTTGGCAAAGCAGAACGCCGTGGAAGAATGGAAGAAGATCATGGGACCAGCCACGGTATTGTACAGAATATATAGAAAAAATCGAATAAAATGTTTTAACTTTAGCGATGGATTTCTCGTCATCAACTTTGTTCAAATTTTGTTCAAAATTTATTCAAATATTGTTTCAGGTAATGGAAGCGCGTCTATATTTTCCCGACAGCATCAGGGCGAGATACGGTCGCAGAGGGGATGGTTTTAAGAACGCTGTACACGGTAGCAGCAGTCGCGAACAAGCCGAGAAGGAGATCCACTTTTTCTTTCCTAAATGTAAGAATTATTTTTCCATTTTGTTGTCTTTTAATGTCTTTAATTTTTCAAATACTTTTAATAGCATCGTTTTGATACTGAATTGGAATTTTTCTTTTCTTTTAGTCATAATCGAGCCGTTATTAAGGGACGAGATGGTTGAAGATTATTTATGGGAGAATATTAACCCGATTCTCGTCGAAGGTCTAACTTTGGTAAAGTAATCTCTCCAGATAAATATTAAATTTGATAAATTATTTGAATAATTAATTCTATACGAATTTTGTTTTACAGTGCTGCAAACATAGACCGGCCGATCCTGTATTGTGGTTGGCGCACTGGCTGATCCTGAACAACCCTAATAAACCTAAACTACCGGAAGATCTCGCTTTAATTCCGACATAACGTTATTTAAAATTCATCTCGTGTGTTATCCATTTAATTCTACACTTTAATACGATAAGAAAATTGCCACCTCACCCACTGAATCTGTTTCCTTTGAAGCTTCTTGTCGACGACATGATGGCATCCTTTTTAATCTCCTCTCCTTCGCGGTTTGCGGATTGTACCTCCAAATATAAAATAGAAAATTGCAAAATGCTGTCGAATATAAAACTCTATTGACCCCTATTTTATTCATATAAAAATTTAAAAAGAATGCTAGAGAAACTCATAAAAATTTTCGACTGCATTCTCCTTAACATTTCATTCATTAGATATTTATTTATTTATTTAGCATACGGGAAAGTTTATTGCATCGAAAATAAAAGAAAGAAAGACTAGTATTAGAACGCAAAAACACAAAAAGAGAATACAAATTCAAAAAAAAATAAAAATAACTTAAATTAAATATACACATAAAAATTAACTTTGCAATAAGACGTGATATTTGACGTAAAATTAATTTTTTTATTTCGAAGAAGATGCTATTCTAGCGTATTTTATTTCCATTATAATTACCTGGATACCACCAAGTGCTGAACGATATCGACAGTCGTTGACTTCTTCTCAATTAGTCCAGAATCGTCACGATAGCTGTTCGCATTTCTCTTGTCGGTTTTTGTATCGTCCGTTCTCCGCGAATCTTTCTGTCTTTCCGCGATCGTCCGTTGCTCGGGTTTCAAATAATTATCGTTCGCGTTCCAATTTTTCGTCAACACTCGCGACGCATCATCGATACCTTGCCCGTTCGCGACACATCGCACTCCATTCCGCCACGGCTCCGCTGTTCTATCGATCTCAAAACGCACTCGTACCGCCGCTGTACCGTTCACATCGTCGAAACCGTTGCGACTAATTTCCTGCGAGCCGTTGATTAATCCATTGTCGACCTCGCTCGCCTTGTCGTCGTCGGTTTTTTGCTTACTATCTCGTAATGTTTCTCTGGACGGAATCGAAGACGGAGAGTCGTCAGTCGCATTGATGGGTGATCTTTGAAATGTAACGAGAAACATTAAAATTATTGAGTAATCTATGTGTGAAATTACGAAGACGACGATTTCATGTTAGTTAATTATTTAATATACTACATTTATATCGCGTGTTTTTGACGATCTTAGAAAGAGAGAGCGCATTAAATATTATAAACAATTTAAAGTACAATAAAAATTACTGTGTTCACCAAATAAATTAATTATCGAGTATATCGAAGCGCTTCTTTTCGATCGAGTGGAATTACGAAATCTCATTAACTAAATATAGCTTCGAGTTTATCCAGATGCCAATTCATTATCACGTTAATGAGTCGGAAAGATCAAGGATACCTTCGCGGCGAATACCGAGAATTCAGCCAGATCGGATCGATCAGCGCCGATTCTTCGGACTTGGCGGGATTGACGTGACTCGAGCCGCTACCAGGCTTGTACCAGGGCGATGGTGTCTTGATGACAGATTTGCTTAAGGTCGACCATACTAGACTGATATCCTCATCTTGTTCAGAGGGTAGAATGGACAGGGAGACGCCCCGTCGTTCGGCCAATCCGACCGGATTGACACTGGCCACCTTCACATCCCAAGGATCGACGATGGACAGTAGCACTTTCTGCGTCGTAGAACAGAGATAGGATGATGATCAGAGAGGACTGATGAGTAGCGCGGGAGTAGAGCGGAACGCGAGTGAATGACGATCGTTGAAACCGTATGTGGGAGTGGACTCGTTAAGTCTCGTTAAAGTTATCCGCGGTGAACGCGTTCTCTCTATTTTTCTGCCTCTCTCTCTCTCTCTCTCTCTCTCTCTCTCTCTCTTCGTTTGTCTAATTCTGATCGAGATGAGACAGTCTCTCAACTATAAAACGTATTCGTGAAGCAGCATTAAGAAACTAGAAAATTTTTCTGAGCAATTTTTGTAATAAAAGAGTCCAATTTCCTAATGAGATTATAATAGCGAATCAGTCTTTTACGACTGAACATGTGAATCATTTATAGGGAACATAATTTTACTCTTCAACAAGTACCTTAACGCTTTTAGTCATCGGCTTTTAGTCATCGTTTACATCGAATAGACAAGATGGATCACGTGGAACGGTTTGACAATTCCATTTGTCTCCATTGCATAATGCGGCATAATCCATAACTTAGCAATTGTTTATGTGATGCTTATGTCACGAAGAGTGACAAGAACTGGTTACAGAATATGAAATATGATCCATCATGCGTTACGGAACAGAATAGTTTTTGCATCGGTTTTTTGAATTTTCGCTCTTTTGAATTTTCGCGATTCGTTTTGCGTTCATGTTATTGAAAGCTATCGTTTTCCTCGGAATAAATATTTAAATCAGGGATTTTAAAATCAATTCAATTTCAATTGCAAACGTAAAATAATAGCGCGTTTCTTGATGCATTTTCCTCGACGATTGAAATTTTTTAACGGGAAGCGTTCGGGGAATTGTAAGATCTTGTAACGATTCAGGTAATATAAATGCTCGAAGATAATAACGTGATATTAGATTTTCACAGACAATAAACATATAATCAAGTACGTTGGACTACGTATTAAATAGTTTTTATTTCTCACTTTGTGTAATAAGAAAATAATACATCTCCACTTTGGCATTTTCTGTGCTAAAGGAAAAGATATTTTCGAATAAAACAAATAAGATTCCATTTAAACCAGGAATATTAAGAATAAAAGACGATAAAAATAATTTTTATAACTACAATTTTTCTTTATAATAAAATAATATCTTTTTTTAAAAATAGATACAAAGCAGAGATAGATAATTAATTTGTTTATACATATTTAAAGAATTACAATTAGAGAGAGACAGATATTATGTTGCCTTGTATAACTGAGAACGTTTTAAACTATAATAATTGGATGGTTTCTATCTAAAGTTAAAAAAAGACTGTAACATAAATATTTTTTGACATTGATTGCCGATCTTTCTTTAGCCATTATCTTGACACACGTTATCGATAAGACGGATGCGTTTTCTAAATCAGAAAAGATTTTAATCTTTTGTAAGCATCCCGCCTTCACTAAAATAACACAACATATGCAAATATTAGAAATTACAACATTTGTTTTTATGTATATTATATAGTTCTGCATAATGAACAAATTTTTACGGATATTGCTAACCATTTTTTCAGAATGTGATCTATCACAAAAAGATCGTGAAAGTTATAACAGTAAGCATTTCTGACAATTCATTGAGATATGCCAGATATTATGAAAAATTATCACTAATTATAAAAATATAATTATATAGATATATTATTTAAATAAGATAAAATTTTTAAAATTCTCGAGTTTTATGTAATCTGTCATTAGAATTTTGTTCTTTCGAGCATTAATTTAATTAAACGAAATCCGAATCTTCACAGACAATCGGATTTGAACGGCTACCTTTTCACCACCCATCCTTTTCCTCTTTCTCTTAATACGATCCATCTCTTCTTCAGGATTTAAGGAATTCAAGCCCCGCGGCGATTAAATTAAATACGCGATACACTGATAATAATTTCCACGGATTGTTCCACCTTCTGGGACAGGTGGTTTTGAACTGATCTGCCGTTCCGTATATCGGCAGCCACTTAGCGATATCTTCTTAGACCTTCTTGCATGTGTATCGGTATCACGTCATATATAGGAGGCCGCGAGCATGTATACACTCGTTTGCAAAGATCCACATCATGTATTGTAAAAGTGTGCCCACCTTGTACACTCACACGAGCGCGATAACCTGCGGTAATCTGTGACATACGGCCGCAAGTACACACGACCCATCTTTGCTTTATTTGTGTTTACATAGTTTACGATGGAGGGAAGAGGAGGGGGGACTTTATACTTTTATTCGCGCGCGTGAGATAATAATGCAATATCGTTACTTACGAATGAAATGCGTCACCCGTTTATCCTTTGTGAATTTCAATCCTCTTGCGAGGCATTCGCGAACCGACAACAAAACTCTTTGTCGCCTTCGATCAATTATTTTTTTATCCATTTTCGCATTCGAGAATATACGGCAAATTAATGAGATACGGTCGGTTTTATTCAAGGATCTTTTTTTTCTATTCTGCGATAAAAATTTTCAAGATTTTTACTTAGATTTTCCAACTGAAGAGAGTATACAAAATGATGGGGAAAGCAACGGCTTCTTATTCTGCACAGAAAATCTCGGTATTATCTATTTGTATGAGTGTGTTACGTCACTGAATTCATTTTAGATTATTACAGTACGTTATGGAAAAGATTTTAGATTACCGCGTTACGTAATAACAATTGTATTGTTACAAATATATCGGCCGCAAATTCTCTTATATACATATACATTTGTTGCTAGAATTACGGATTGTCTATCACGCGATTTTATCAACAAAGTGATGCATAATTTTAATAATAAGAAGGATGTAATCGATTAAAAAGGTCAATAACAAGAATTTCATTTTCTCCGTTTTTTTTTTTTTTTTTTTTTTATTTTCCGTTTCTCAATAAGATGGCTCATAAAGAAATCGAATAATATCTCTCGCTAATTCGAAATACTATTGTAGTTTTACAGCAAAATTACGCGAACTGATGTTATACGATAAATTGGAGCATTTGTTATTACGTACTACGATTATACAGAATATTTTAATTATAACGCCTAAAGTGTGTGTATTAACCGTAATGATATGGTCTTGTAATAACAATAAATTATACTATCTAATTTTTTTTCGTCATTCTGCGTTCAACGAACTGGCTAGCTCGTTAATTAACGAAGCAATTAATTAAACAAATTAAACACTATAAATAAGCTGCCTCAATTTAAATTTACTGATTTCCCTGTAAGAAACGCATTTCGACAAAATGCAACAGACGCGAAATAAAAAGAAATTTCCATTAAGCATCTTTTTAAAAGAAAAGAAAATCTTTAACATATAGACGCGCTAAAATCGTGCCATAAAAAAAAATGGTGGAATTAAGATAAATACTGTAAGGGATAAAGATTACAGTTTTACAAAACTGCGAAATCATTATCATTAATCCGACTATTATCAGATCTTTCGCGTCAGAGTTGAATCTACTTGGACGTATCCTCTGCGATTTTATTCTGCACGATTTTTCAAAAAATATTTACTACCAATCAACTATATATATACGCGATCATCATTTTTCTCCTCATAATTATTATTGCCATTCTCCAGACGGATGGCTATTCTCGACGCCACAGGCTTCTTTTTTCGCCCCGTCAATTCGGAAATTAATTATCACTTCACCGATCAATGTAAGCATGCACCGCGAAAGGTCTCATGTGTATCTCGAATCTTTCACTGGTAATATAATAACCACAATGAGATCCTCGGGTTTCTCAGACTTCAATAATATATCACGACCAAAATGATAGATCAGATAAATTCCGATATAGATCTTAAGAGATCATCCGAAGGTTCATTCGGTTCATTTATTACCAATAATATTTCACACGCACGTTGCTAACTAACACTCGCACATCATCTTACATAGTTCTTTAACAGACAGACTCTCCCTCTCTCTCTCTCTCTCTCTTGACGAATTAATGGAAACCATTATTGTAATTGTCTCGCTCGCTCGATTGAGTGAATACGCGATTGATGGATCTTGTATTCACTGGGATATTCGCGTCTTCGATTATAATTACGTTCTATATTATGTTCTATATTTCTATCATACCATTAACAGTATCATAACTATGCTGCCCTCGCGCGCGAGCGCATATATTTATATATATATAATTTTTTCATCATACACACATCTCTCGTCATTCGAATCTTTTTACACGCATTTCCCATTCGTTGCATACTCGCCGTGAATAAAGTTTAAAAACATTAACGATAATAATATATCTACATATCTTTCTATATTTATATATCATTTGCTGAGACTGCTTGCACTCAAGTAAGCGAACAAGTGGATTTTTAAGCATTGCGAGAAGACATAGTATGTATGTAGGAACGAAACTTTGTGCATTGAGACAATCAAATGTCACAGTGTGAGTATAATGTATATATATGTATGTGTATATGTATGCAAGAGTACTCGCTCCAAATGTTCGCTTTCTATCGTGAATCCGCGTCGAATGGATTATGGCAGGTGATCTTGCAAAATCATCATCGCACGCAGAGCAGTGTAAATGTCGCTAAGCATTATCCTCATACGATTCTTGCTATTATTATCAGTGTATCTCTCTTAACATTATTAGTGAGTATTATTTTTCCTTCGAATAGTAATGGAGGAAACAGTCGTGCCATACGACCCTGTTATACATTGCTGTCCCGAGTCTTTATATCATTTTCCTCCTCCTCTAGTTACCGCATAAACACGCGATATATATGTCCAGATGACGTGCATCACTAACGTCGCATTTTCTATCGTACAGTATCTTTTGTAAATTTGATGACGGGAGGAAAGGGGGGAGTAGCCCGATAAAGTTTCACCGAGAACGCCGATCGAGAGAGAAAAACAGCCCTCGGTTCTTATTACAATCCTCCGCACACTCATGATTTGCACGCACGCAGTTTTACGTAATAATCGAGTCGCGGGATAAGAGACTCAGTTATTAATATCTCGTCAATATAATGCGTTCATTAATTTTATTGAAACAACCGAGTTTCTTCTCAAAAAAGTATATTTTTAACATTGATATTTACAATTTCTCTTCTCTATCTTTCATTAACGCTAATACCCTATACATATTAATGGAATTAATAAAATGTGTAGAGGACCAATTGATCGATTTATTACACATAGATTGCGTGTGCATTAAGAAAATCCTTGTTACACAGGATAATTTAAAGAAAAGATTAGAGAGAGAGAATCTCTTAATTTCATGCGTATAACGCTATTGTCGATGAGCCTATAATGTGATATGTATCTATTTCTTCTTTCAAAAACTTTCAAAATTCATCCTCTTAATCCTCAAACCGCAAAAAAAAAAAGACTTTTTAAAACCACCTTTACAAATATACTCGATTTAAACTATCCTGCGTAACGAATTGACAAAAACTCGTACGTACGAAATTATGAAATATTGCACATTAGAAAATGCACATTTCGAACACCCTCACACGCAGATCCAAAACGGAAGGAAAGTTTCAGGTTTCTATTAGGCGAGCAAGGTGGAACGTTTATGTATATATGTATAATTCGATCGATTCTCTCATCGATAATCGAGAATTGCGCGCTATATGTGTAACAACTTATAGGCCAAAAGGATAGGTGGTTTTATTTCTTTTTCTAGGCGGGCGACCGTATCTCCCCGTGATATAATAGTCTACGTAGCTGTACACTAACGTACTTTTTATTCTCTTGTGTGTGTGTGTGTGTGTGTCCTCGCGTACGCAATTTCGTTCTTCGTAAAAGAAAGAAGAAACGGCACGTATCTCGTCGCGACGAAACAAAAGAGCTCGAACTGTATTTATAAAAATCAAATTTATAATTATCCCACGTCGTCGAGAGAAAGCTACACCAGATCACGGACGAGCATGGCGTAAATTTATTCTCATCGCATTCTATTCTCAAATAGAATATAATTCCTATCTGCGAATGTCTCGGTATAACGAATGTTCGTAATTTCATTCCGGTATCAGTTTCACCGGGATGAGTATTTACATTTACACGCGTGAGTTTTTCCGGTGATAACGTAAGGAAGCAAATGCTCTCTCCTGGTGCAGAACTACCCCCGGTAGTGTTCCGAACATAACAGTGAAGCTAACAGATGGAAAAATCTGATATGCTAAAAGTACACGCACTAACGCCGACTCGGTCTACAAGATCGCTAAATTTCCTAAGTGAAAAATTTCGGAGAGAGGCGAATGCTGGGAAAAACACCGTCAATCAATTACGCACCGGTTGCCTCTTAGCGTCGAGCATTACGTCATTCCCCTGGGTCATCCCATTTCGCCTCCTCGGCTATTCGATCGAAGCAATCCGAGAGGAACGTATACTGCAAACATAAAAATATGGATAATACGTGAAATATTTCGCAAATATTTCGCGGATATCGTTAAGAAAGAAACGCTCGTGACTCACGTAAGGTGTGAAGACCTTGAGCCAGCGCGGAGGACGATTGTCCTGACGCGTATACTGGAAGCAGAACGCCATCCCATCCTCGTCCACCTCCCATCGGGCGATGGTGCTCCATTGAAATTCCACCACCTGCGACTCCAGAGTACCATCCTCCTTTGCGGCGTGCAGCTTGAAAGCGGCCGTTCCTACCGCCGGTATCACGTGGCCTTCCTTCCTTGAGTCACACGCGCAATGCGGGAAGACGATGTCCCCATAACCGCTGAGTTCTCTTGCCAATTTTAAATACTATGACATACAAATTCACGTGAAAAATTGAAAATTGACATATAAACTCATGTGAAAAATTGAAAATTGAATTTATTTGCGTTTCTAAAGCTTAGCTCGTGAGAAAATCCTTATTTTAAACTGCCAATTACTCAGAAATCATTGGCGTCTGAATAATTTCATGAAGGGTAGTCGAGACATCTTGTATAAAAAATTTCTTCCGCCACTGAACAGACCTCGTGTTTTCTGGACGCATCCTGTAGAGCCTTCAATTGATACAATCGTTCGCCCGCGGTGATGTGACCCCTGTTCACCTCGTCGATTGTCTGCCAGAATATCCAAGTCAACGCATGCTCGCTCAGAGCCCTATTTACATTGAAAAGCCACCTCCTTATCGCTAGACACGTCGCGCTGGCGGTCGAGTAATTCTGAATGTATAAAGTATGCGGATGTTCGTGAGGTTGCAGCTTCCGTTCTGAAGCATAATAAAATCACAATGAGACTTTTTCGATTTTTTTCATTCAGAGACCGCGATTACATGTTTGAAAACGTGCAATTGTCTCGAGCAATTATCCTTAACCTACCAAAATTATACTCGACAATCTCGAACAGGTAAAAGTACTTGGCCGTCTCGGCGTCTAAGCCGACCCGGGAGCAAACCGCATCGTAGACATCCTTCACCGACGCCGCTTTCGGGACCGTCACGGTGACGACTTCGCGATCCGGCAATAGAACCTTGAGATCGACCGCCGGTCCCTGATCCCCGTCCTCCTCTAATCGATCGGTCAGAAACTCCTGCATCGCATCGCTCTCGGCTATCACTCGCACCGCGCACACCTTCTCCAAATACTGTTCAAGACCGCGCCTCCTCGCATCGAGCTGTTGCTCGCTCAATCTGCAAAATGCGAACGAACAAATCCTTGATGATTCATGATCCTATGAGAAGAACGTTTCGTCAATTGAATAATTTCACGGAGAGGCTCGAATCATCATCGGCATCTAAACGCGTTTGCACGTGTGTCCGCGTGTTATACTACTGTATAATCCGAGAATATTTACTGGAACGGCCATTTTCCTGGTAGCTTCGGGAAATTGAAACCTATGAACTCCTTCTTCAGCGCCATGTGCAACGCCGCGAATTCCCGATATCGACGCGAGCACAAGTGCCTGCCGGCCATATGGACATTGAAGACTACGTAACGCTCGTGTTTTCTCTCACGAACGTGATAATCGGGCACACTGATGGGCAGGGATCGCTTCTCGCTGTAATCCACCGACGCATAGCTGAAGAAGAGATGTTAAGATGCGTTTAATATTTCATAGATATTCATATTTTTATTATTAATATATATTTTATATTAGTATATATTAATATTTAATAATAAAATGTGTGCATCTTAAACATAATTTAGATAAATAGATTATTAGAATCAAGGTTATTATAACACTTTGAGAATCTTATCGGTGAGATCATAATCACTCGATTATGATTAATCGAAAGAAATACATGTGATAATTTAATACGAACTCTTCAATTGTAATATAGACTAAATGCAAAATCCGGCATGTAAAATCCGAATATCGTATCACACACACCTCAAATCCTCGCAGGGCTCCAGTCTCTCCGCTTCCTGCGGCGTCACGGAGATAACGGTCAACGTGAGAACATCGCCGCCCGATTTGATAAGATCCACCACCTGCTTGTGAGTGGCGCCTTCGACGTTGACATTATTCCTGCAAGCAGAAACGACACAATTTTTGCGTTATCATAGTTATCGCCCCCCCCCCCCCCCCCCC